AGCAGCCAAATGATAGCGACAATTTTATTATCCCTGTTTTATATGTGAGGAAACTTAGGCAGGGAGAGGTTAAATAACATGTCCAATTCATCCAATTTAGTAAGTGGCTAACCTGGTATGTGAACCCAGGCCACGTGAGGTTGGGAAACCACTAGAGCCAACTGCCTCTCCAAAACAGGAACGTAAAGATCCTCAGTCAATTTATAGTTATAAACACAAATAAGTGCTTGCCCTGTGCTTCCTTATATCTAGAGAACAGTTAATTTATATACATATTATATTATATATACCTACATATATATGTGTATATGTATGTATGTGTGTGTGTGTGTGGATGGATGGATAGATAGATAGATAGATAGATAGATAGATAGATATAATCTGAGGTAAAGTCAAAGAGAGGAATGGTCCTCAAAGTAGAAAAAGAGTGAAAGGATCAGGGTTTCCTAAGAAGAGGAAAGGAGCAAGAGCATTTTCTGGAAAGTAAACTAAAGGGACATAATCCTCATTTAAAAGAAAGTATTAAAGTAAAATCATGGTAAATGTCAAAGGTAATTACTGTGTAGCTAATATTGTCTATATATTAGTAAATGTTCAAATCAACCTGCAAACTTTAGAGATACTCAAGCTAGCCATGTGTTGGTGATAAGGCATGCAAATCCGTAATTTTTAACTTTATCTTTGTAATCACATCAGGCACAGTAGAAACACGTTTTGAATATTTTTTCCAGGCAGAGACAACCTTAGGATTTACAGAGGTACAGATTTTATCTGGACAAAGGGAATAGACTGAGAGAGAGGCTGGATTTTTAAAGGGGAACAGAATGAAAACAAACACATCTATCATTTTCTTAAGGAATCGTTTTTTTTTTTTTAATTGGGAAATAATTTCTTTCTACCCATAGCCATGAAGACAAAGTAATAAGCTAACTCTTCTGCACATCATGCAAGGAGAAACCGGAGGGCACGCTGAGGTTAGGGACAGGCTGGTCTTGAGGTAAACTCTGAGCAGACACAGGTGGTCACATTGTGGAATGAGGCCACGGCCCAGGTGGGGCCAGCAGCTCCCTGCTGTTCCAACACCTCAATCTATTCTCTAACGTTAGCTGCTCTGGGCTTGGGGCTGGCTGGGCCATGATCTCTCCATGCTCTCTTTCTGGTGAGCTCATCTGGTCCCATGACCTCAACCCCCTCTATAGCTGATGTCTCCCTTATGTGTATTTCTAGACCTGAGATCCCACCTGAGCGCCAGATTCATTCTTCTGGCTACCTGCATAATATTTCCACTTGGATGTCTAATAGGAATCTTAGATTTTATGAGATTCCTATGACACCCATCCACATATTTTATAGAGGTGCCACACCCACCCCTTGTGTCTATGTGTCCCCCTGCAAATGTTCCCATATTGATAAACAGTAACACCTTCAACCTGGGGTATTCAAGTCCAAACACCAGGACATACATTATTTCCCTCATTTCCCATTCTTCACCTCTGGTCCATAAGAAAATCATGTTGATTCATTCAAATCTAGAATTTGTTTGTCTGTTTTATTTCTTCAGGCTCCACTCCAGTTCAACCCCCATTGTCTCTCACCTAGACCAGCTATACTTTCTTCTAACTGGTCTTTTAGCTTCAACTCTCTCCTACCGTCTACTACAAAGCAGCCAGAATCGGTGACTTAATATTCAGGAGGATTTATTCTACTTAATATTCAATATCAAAATTTGACCTCCATTCATAATTTATTTTTTAGCCCACTTGAGGTAAATTTTTTTTCGTACCATGCTGCTTTATAGCAAGAAATGGTACAATTGAGGTAGAAATCACATCTGGGTGTATTACAATGTATGCCCAGCATTGGTGACCACAGGAAGTCGTCACCTCCCTCCTCCAACCCCCGTCTATGGGAAAGCTAGCTGTATTACCACTGTAGCCTAGGGTGAGCTTGTTAAACAGATACTCTGCCAAGCTGGCTTCCAAGACCCCCAATTTACTACCTAGAATTAACCATTAATATTTCAGATAAAGTGAAGACCTCCTTTATTTTAATCCCTGCCCAATCCCACTCTCTTCACTCTTTTTCCAGAGGCAACTGCAATTGTGATTTTTCAGGCCATGTTTTTATACTTTTACTATGCACATGCACCCATTCCCCAGGGCCCCAGACCACCCCCCACCCCACCCCTATAGACCACACTGTTTATAAGGGGAAGACTCATTTTATGTTTTCCAGGGTCTTACACAATTCCTTCTCCCTCCGTCCATGGAGATCCTGAGCTGCATGGGAATGGGGCATGGGTCCACGGAGACATAACTGGATACCTGCTTAAAGCTTAAAAGGTGAGGGTTCTGCACACACCAATCAACCAGAGACCTTTATTTACTTAGGAACCAATAACTTTATTGGAAGAAATAACAAAACAGGAAGAAAAAAACTTAAGTGAATGTTTTGCAAGGGCAGTACTGCAATATGCATGTTCAGTATGGTGACCCGGGGAAGTCACCCTGTGGCTATGTCCATGCTCAGTTCTTCTTGTCGCTGTCTCCCAGGGTAAGCTTGTCAAAGAGGTATTCAGCCAGGCCGGATTCCGGGGCTCCCATCTTGCGCAGGTTGGTGATATGGTCCCCCAACTCTTTGATGAACTTCACCTGCTCATCCAGGTGGTGACTCTCCAGGAAGTCACACAGGTGGGCATCCTTCTTCTCGGTTGCCAGGTGGTGCAGATTGAGCAGGCTCTGGTTCACATTCTTCTCCAAGTGCAAGGCACACTCCATGGCCTTCACGCCATTCTCCCAGCAGTTGCGGTCAGGCCTGCTGATGTCACGCAGACGGAGTTGGCCCCCGCGCTGGTTCTGCAGCCATATCAGCCTCTGGGCATGCTCCCTCTCCTTGCTCGACTGCTGCAGGAAGAATTGGACCAAGTGCTTCAAGGCCACCTGATTGCTGTCGAAATAAGAGGCCATGGACTCGTACACGTAGGAGGCGTAGAGCTCCAGGATGATCTGGTTGTTGACGGCGGCCTCACATTCAGGGTGGTAATTCTGACGCACATATGACGGCGGCGGTGGCGGGGTCATCATGGCTGGTGATGCAGGCGCAGCGGGAACCAAGGCCCAGGTAATGGGAAAGCTGGAGCTGTGAGGTGGGCCCTGGCCTCAGGGCGCTCTCAAGATGGACGAGGACGACACCGTCGAACGGGCTCTGTGGCGCGTTGTCGGAAGCCCTGACAGGAGACCGGAAATGGGGTCTCCTGAGCGCTGCGTGGAAGGGGCAGAGTTCTTTACGTTACATTACGTTATGTTACGTTACGTGCATGGGGAAGAGGGGCTGGAGCGCCGTGTTCCAGCTTCCAATCCAGCCTGGTGAGGCCCGGTTACTCTTAGCTGAGCACCTGGCATCTATTAAGTTTATAGTTTGGCAGTATTTCTATTTTTCGAAGACTTTCCATTGTTCTCTATTTACTCCTTTTTAGTGGCACCTTGTTCTCTTTAAAAATATGCATTGTCCTTAAAATTCTGAGAATATTAAATTGGATTTTTTTGGTAAAGTTGTCTTTGTTTCCTGTATGTGTATATGTGTGTGTACATATGTATGTATGTGTATATATGTATATAATTTTTTTCTTTCTAGAAATAGTCATGTTTGTTCATCATGATCTCCTCTTTCACTTTCTTGTAATAGTTAAAACTGTGTATTCATATTTAGGAATAAAGAGCACATTTGATTACCCTAAGTAATTAGCATGGATCTGGTCAACAGTATGATGTCCATTTCACTAATAAGTTTCTTCTCTGAAGGAGGGTGTCAATTAGGGAGTGGTATTGTATCTTTGGGGGTACATGGCATGGAGCTTTCAGGTAATATAGGGACCCTCCCAAATGCCAAAAGCTTGGCATTTTTTCTGACATTGGAAGACTTGTGGATTTCTTTTCTACGTAGATGTATCCTTTTGTTTGTGTTCTGCTGTGCAGGTCTGAAGTTGTCTCAGATCTCTAATATGGGTTTCCTTCTCGAATCTTTGAATGACATAAGTATATCCCCCCATCACTTGCATCATGAATGTGCAATGGATCTTGATAAAAACAAAAAATAAAAATTTATATGTTAAGTCGGTAAGACTCAAATGTTTGTTATGGCAGTCAGCCTATCTCGACTAATTAGTCAAAGAATGTGCTGGACAACTACAGGTTATACCTAACAGAGTTAGTGGGCTTTTAGCCTTTCCTCTTGGTAGAAATGCAGATCCAAAAGAAGAAAAGTGTTGATAGCCAAGTCATCATGCTCTATTTCTTTCTCTAAATTCATCAATAATATATATCAGTTATAGTCCCTTTTTCTCTCAAGGAGAATGGAATGAAAAATCCCTCAAGGACATATGAAGAGCAAGGAATAAGTTTTTCTATTTCCCTCAATTCTGGGAAACAACATCAGGCTAGTTCTTATGTGTCTGACATTAAGCCAATAACAGAAGGCACAAGGGCCAAGGACCATAACTGGCTGACTCTGAGCCAGTCGGCTGTAGTGAGAGAGATGGAGGTCATGTAGGAACAGAGGGGCACTCACTGGAACCACATAATTGGAATTTGTGTTTGTGTTGGGCAGTTCCCCAGTAAAGGAGGATGCTATTCCAGAACTGGTAGCAGGGCTAAGAAGAAGGTACAAGGGAAAGTGCCATTTTGTCCTATTGAACTGTGAGGTCCACAGAATTAGAGTCCTATATCTGTTTGTGTCTCCTACATTGGATAGCATGCCAGGCACTTAGCACTTCATTTCCTGAGAAGTTCTTCACTTTTGGAAAACAGTATAGAGAGAAAGGAGCAATAAAAGTGGACTCAGAAAGCAAAGGAACAGCATTTTTGAGACATTTCTGGGGAATGGAAAATGGCTTCAACTCTCAAATACAGATGCCAAATGCTTTTGGGCAGAGTTACTTGGCAATGCTCTCTGTGAAGCCTGGCCACAGTGAGCACTGGTTAATAAAGGTGACCAGGGAGGCAGTCCTGGTTCTGTCACCAGATAATAAATGAAAGACTCGATGAATCCTTGCCAGACTAGGTGATTTCCTGTATTGTCACTAATCCTCACAATTCTATGAAGTAGGAATTGTTTTTATTACCTCCCACATGAGGAAACTGAAGTCCAGAATGTAAATTACTTTCCCAAGATGATATGGAAACGAGATTAAAGTCAGATCAGACTCTCAGGTACCTCTTTAATAAACTGGGATACAAACAGGACACTGAGTCATGTAATTTCTTGAGACCTCCCCCAGCTTTAAGTAATGTGAGAAGAAGAGGTGCAGACACAACAGGAAATAGCTGTTAGAATTCTATAGCAGCACAGTAACCCCTGCACCCCCACCTAGCTTTCTTGACACAGTCCTGAACTTTGGCAAGGCCAAAACTACACAGAATAATCTCCTTTCTCAGTTTCTACTAGGAAATGAGTTTAAGTAAATTTTTAAAAATCACAAAAGGCCACAGATTGAGATGGAACAAAACTTTTCCTCAGCAGACTGCCAAGCCTCTGAGCATGGATGGGATGAGAAAGTGTAGGTTCTGTGTCACTCCTCTTATGGGCTAGCTATACTCCCCAGATGGGTTATTCTTGATTTACACTTCACTGGTCTGATGTATAGGTAACATTTTCTCATAAATTTGTGTCTTTTGTCCTTTTCCAATGGAGGTAATCATTAAGAATTATTTCATCTTAGGGGTAGAATAGATACTTGGATTGCCTTTCCTCATAGGATTAAAACAAGTTTTCTAGAAAGTTATTTAGCACCTCTTTCTCAAACTTCTGTCCTTTAGTCAGTTCTCAAAATAACCACTGATACTTGTGTTTGCTTATTTCCAACTAGACTGTATTTTGTGAGGTCTTATGAAGATCATCTCCTCCTTCCATCTCTCAACAGTTTGGTTCACAGAAATCCCAAATAATTGCTTACAGATTGTATGTACCTCTTTGGTTTAACTGAAACACTTCTCAAATGTGGACCATAATTTTTAAATCTAGGAGTGAGAAGTGGGGTGGTATGTCAGATAATTTTCAGGATTCATTTTCTGCATTTAGTGGCCAGCAACAAACTCAGACCCATTTCTTGTAGAAACTAATGCACAAAGCAATGGGACTCATCATTGGTCCTTATCGCTCTCCTGACAGCTATTTTATGATTCGGCACATGTGGTTCAAAAATCCAATACCTCAGTTGCACTTTTTATTCTAGAGGGAATTCAGATGATTCCTTTATCACCTGTGACCAAAGGTTGTAGCTCTCTTGTGGAGAGTTCCAGTCTAGCAGCTGCCCCAGTGACCACTTTCTGCTCATCAAATGACCAGTTTCACTCAAGGAGGAGTGTCAAAGAACCACTACAGGAGGAAGGTTAACGGCAGACATCTTGGTGGTGGGAGCTGCTCTACTATTTTGTGGGAGTCTCAGCCTGTAGATAGTTATGCTGTTGTCCAGAAATGCCTGGGGCACTCACCAGGGCAGTACTGCTTGTGGCAGAGTCCCCATAGATATTTCCCCTTTCAGAATCAATGTAGTGGCTGCACTGGCCCTTGTGGTTCTTGTTATGATTGCAAGATGTACCTCAGCAACAACGATCAGGGAACTTTGAAAAAAAGCCAAAAGTTTATTACTCACATGTCTTGGAGGGTATGTGGCGTGCCTGAGGACATACAGTGCGATTGTGTGTGTTGGGGGTCGGGTAAGAAAGAGAAAACAAATGAGAGAGTGGAAGGAGAACTGGGGTTTTGCTTTTATTGGGGTCTAGGGTGGGGTGCCTAGGGTTTCATGGATTCATTCTTTTTGGGTGAATTTAAACATAAGAGTGGGAATAAAAATGTAGGAAGGGAAAAACGAGTGGTCAAATGGTCAGTTATCTAAGTCAATCAGAGATCTTTAAAAAAAAGAAACTTCAGGGGTAGGGTGACCTGGATCTTTATCTAGTCTTGTAGCTGGCTATGTATTTATTCAAGATAGCTGTCCTTGAAGTGGATGCCATGGTAATCAGTGATGAGGGGATTATATTGGACTATCTTCTCTTGATCAGGTTGCCAGTGTGAAGCAGATGGCAAGATGATCAAAAAATCAGAACAGAAGGGGGAATCGGAGTCAGGGGACAAAATAAAAAAGACATTGTCTTGGAAATTAAAAGCTTGAGGATTGCCAGAGATGACCAAAAGTGGAATTTTGGGGGTGTGTAATAATTGATATATTGGGTATGAAGGTCCAAGGAGGCAACAATTGAGCAAGATGAGGACCTGGGATAAGAGTTATATCCATTTAGAGGACCACTCCTCTGAAAATAATTAGTGTCTCTTTAAGGCCATTATGATGCTCAATGAGGCCAACCACTTGGGGGGAGTAGCCTAGATGAAAGTTCCAAACAATATAGTAATTTGCCCTTATCTGCAATTATCTGCAACTGAAACTTTCTGAGGTTTCAGTTATCTATGGTCAACTGAGGTCTGAAAATATTAAATGGAAAATTCTAGATATCAACAATTCATAACATTTAAATTGCTCACTGTTCTGAGTAGTGCGATGAAATCTTGCACCGTCCAGCTCTGTCTCTCTGGGACGTAAATCATCCCTTTGTCCAGCACATCTACACTGTAGATACTCCCTTCTTGTTAGTCACTTAGTAGCCATCTCAGTTATCAAATTGACTATTGTGGTATCGTTGTGCTTGTGTTAAATAACCCTTATTTTACTTGGTAATGCCACATTCACATAACTTTTATTACAGTATATTTTTATAATTGTTCTATTTTATTATTAGTTATTCTTATTAATCTCTTACTGTGCCTAAATAATAAATTAAACTTTATTGTTGGTATGTACATATAGGAAGAAACATAGAATATCTAGGGTTTGGTACCCCATGTTTTTAGGCATCTAATGGATATGGAGGGACTGGTGTATTATGTTGGAGAGCCCACTCACTGTTTAGTCTCCTGAGATGTAAAGAGAGTACCCTGGTCAGAGTTAGTAATGTCTAGCTATCTGAAGGGAACAAAAATATATTTAATAAAAAAAAAGAGATTACCTGCTTTGAACAGGAATTTTGGGTAGGAATGACCAAGAGGACTCCTGTGTAAATTTTATGATTGTGACAGCATAGCTGGAAGCCCCAGCAAAAGGGGGCAGTAGACCAATCAACTCAATCTCCCAGTGGGAGTATGGTCGGTCTCCCAGAAATATGTCCCCATCTAGATAGCCTCCATTGTTTGGTTTGGGACCAGAGAATGTGCTCATCTATCAACACTGGCTGCCGCTGAGGAGAGGTGGAGTCCCCTCACTTGAGCCCAAGTTATTAAGGCATGAATTCCCTGATAACCCGTAGTCATGTGGGCCTATTTAGCAAGCTGGTAGAAAGGGTCAGTACCTTGAAGCATCTGTACCGGGCAGAGTGTGGAGGGCTTAGTGAGGGAGTCTGTGATATTATTGAAGATGGCTTCTGATGTAGAGCGGTTAGTGTAAGTGGAAACGTGAGTAATGGTAATAGGAATTGGCGACTCTGCTAATTCCTTCCATGTCTGGGTTTCCCAGATGGGCTTGCCTTATATGAGAACATTATCCCTTAGGCATTGACCAGACCAAACCACAAAGCCATTTCCAACAGTGCAGGAATCTGTGAAAATGTGGATCTGTGATAGGCTCTGTCTTATGTACATTGTGTACAGTGGTGGTTCTGCCATTGGTGAAGGACACCAACTCCCCTTTCATCACAGACAGTTGGTCTCAAGGGGTTCCCCAAGTAGCCAGAGGAGGAGGAAGCAGGGGCACCCCTATCAATTCCACAAGGCTCTTGGGCTAGGGTCTGAACATGGGGGAAGCCACATCTTCCTGTAATTTGGAAAGGCTTTTGACATCAGGTTTAGCCCTCTCTTGAAGTACCATTTTCATTTTACCAAGGAGGCATCAGTGTCCATGCTGAGCTTCTGCTGGGAGACATCTCTAACCCAGGGCATTATATCAACTCATGTACAGAGTAGTACTAAGTGGGGGCCAATTAGGGCCTGGGCTTCAAAAAGAACCCAGTAGGATTCCAAAAGCTGGCACTCAAGGGGAGTATATAGAGCTGCCTCTGGGGGTAGGTAGTTAGTCTAAGACCCCTTAGGAAGTTGAGTGCTCATGTTTGGTTTGGAGACTCCAAGAAGTATAATCATGTGTGGCCAAGGAATGTGGAGCCAGAGGGGACTAAAGGTAAGGCTTGTTGAACTGCCTTCTGGGCAGCTTCCAAAGGGTGGCAGACTTGGTGTGATCGTATATATAGGGTGAAATATTAGTGAGAGATGAATAATGTGTTGCCTCCAGAATATGAAAAGACCTAGTATATGTTGTGCCTGTCTGTGGGTGGTTTAAAGATGAGTAATTGTTGGGGGAATTTCTTGGCCTTTAGAAGACAAGAAGATGCCCAGAAAGTTGACAGATGAAGGTGGGTCTTGGATCTTGTGATGGGCAGTTGCTCGGCTGTATTGTTGTAAGTAGTCTTTGAGGGTGTGCAAATCTGCCCATATCGCTTCCTCAGATGGACCCTTCAGCATAATGTCATTGATATAATGCCAAAAGTGGCAGCTTTCCTATTGTAGAGTGTTAAATCCTGATTGCAAAGGTTATGTGCAATTGCCAGACTGTTTAAATATCCCATTGGAAGCCCCATACATGTATACTGAACCCCTTCCAAAGTGAAAGCAAATTAGGCCTGAGATTCCTCTGCAATGTAAACAGAATAGAACATATTAGCTAGGTCAGTAACCATGAGGACACTCCTTGTGCCCATTGTATCTCCTCAATCAGTCCTAATATTAGGAATTGGAGCCTTATTCAGGGGAACCTGAGCATCAGTGTTTCAATAGTCAATGGTGACACACCATTTATTGGTGGCTGGCTTACATACTGGCCAAATGGGGTATTGAAAAGAGAGATTGTGGGCTTGATGACTCCCATTTCAATCATATCTTCAATGAAGGGGCATAGGCCTTCAGTGCCCTGCTTAAGTTGATATTGGGGAGTGTTTATCATCTTGACCAAGTGAGGAAGAGTCACCAGCATGCATTTGGTGAGTCCCACCAAGAAGGCCAAGAATTTGGGCTTGTTCCATGTGGCATGGCATGACGTCAGTGCAACCATCCCTGTAACAGGAAAAATAAAGAGCCAGGGGCACCATCAGAAAAAGCCATTTGAGGTGAAAGGTCCCCAAAGTTACATCGAATGGGTTTATATACCTTTGATTGTTTTACCAGCGATGTCATTTAGGTAGAAAGGTTCCCCTTTCAGGAATTTAGAGGGATTGCCTGGAATGACAGTGATTTGGACTCTGATGTCTAATAGGGTCCATTTTTATTGTCCCAATGAACCACTAGAGTGGTATAGGCATGATTTTCCCTGAGAGGTGGGAGAAGTCCTGGGTAACTGCCAGTTTCCTAGGTTAGGAGCTTAGGTAGTTGCCGGTTCCAGAGGTTAGTGAAGCGGGGAGAGGAAATAGTGGGGACTGGCTGGGGCAGGAGGGGTTAGAGGACAGCTGCGTGGCAAGAGGATGGACTGCAAAAGGGGGCTGTAGCTGGGAGAATGCTAGTTTTAGGACCTGGAGTTTAGAGACTGGCTATCCAGAGATTAAATGGCCAAGAAGCTCTATATTTCATAACAGCCAGTAGAGGTTCCTATAAGGGGAAAAATTAGATTGAGGGTCTATTGGAGTGAGTGGGGAACCCTTTCTTTGAGAGAAATTTGTTCAAAGGAGACCCTTCCAGATCAGCAGGGATGCAAGGGCATGAGTCTGAAGTATCTGGGTGTCCAAGTGGGAATCTCCTCCATGTCTACCAACCATGTCAATGCCTTCTGGTGCTTCTTGGATGGTTTCGACACTCCCAATAAAATGTAATAGCAATGCCCCCAAATTAGGAGGAGCATCCTATAAAAATAATTCTTTGGACTCAGAATCAAATGGGGCCTCTTCGGGATTGGAAATGAAAAAGGGTCATTTGGGTGACCATGGTTACAGAAATAAGAGACCCATTGGACCATGCCAATTTTTCACAGCAGGAAACGGGCCTCATATTAATGTTTTCTAATCATTATGGGCCTTAGTAATAATCACTGTGATGGAAGGATGAGTACAGCATCAGGCAATAAATATTCATGTAAGGAGAAGGAAGATACTTGTGTATCAGTGGTTCTAGGGCCCTTTGCCATCCTTTCTCCTTCCTCCTCACTAGAGGCCTCGATAACCCCATCAGCTTTTCCCTTGCTGGCAGGGGTGTTTTGTGAGGTGCATTTCTTGGTTCTGCCTCCATTCAGAGGAAAGCTGAGAGGACTCAGAATCTGTGACATCTCAGAGTAAATGAGCATATAGCTTGGATGGATCTTTAGGAAAGTTATGGATTTCAGGGTCTTTAGAGATACCTGCCAATTAACACATTTTGGCAGCAGTGAGTAACAGTTCAGAACTTGTTCCAAAAACCTGAAATAGCCAGTTAGCTCCCCTTTCTCCTTCCTGTTACGTAAAATCTTTAAGAAAGGTTTGAATTTCAGTTAAAGTATAGTTTCTGATATGTTTCTATTTCTTGATTTTCTCCTATTACGTTAATTTTACATGTTGTTACTGAAAAAAATGTATGGATGATATCACTGTGAGCCTTCTTCATAGGTAGCTGCTTTCCTTTCCACGGCGTCCCAATCAACCTCTCTGAGATTGGGATCTGTCCACTAGTGTGATACACACAGGTCTTTAAGAAAAGCCCCTATAACTCTAGAGCATACCAGAGTCTTGGAATGTTGGTATGCTGCAGCACTGATCGATGCACAGGAAGCTTCTATGCGCTTTTGCATTTATCAAGGAGCTGGTGTACCTCCTCTAGATTTTTAAGAGTCACTGGCACCAGATGTTCATGACATTAGTATTTTTAGCAACATTACCCCTGGGATTAGGCCCATAGTATCCCATTGGGTTAGGGCAGCGGTCCCCAACCTTTTTGGCACCAGGGACCAGTTTCGTGGAAGACAATTTTCCATGGACCGGGGCCGGGGGGATGGTTTCGGGATAATTCAAGTGCATTATATTTATTGCGCACTTTATTTCTATTATTATTACATTGTAATATATAATGGAGTTATTATACAACTCACCATAATGCAGAATCAGTGGGAGCCCTGAGCTTGTTTTCCTATAATGATGGTCTGATCTGGGGGTGATGGGAGACAGTGACACCCGAAGTGTGTTGCTTATGTCCAGTCTTCTCTGTAATCTCGTTTTGTTCACCATCATGGTGGAAAACCCTGCTTCACAAAGATAGGATGTTGGAAATGCTAGCGGGCTTTTCAATGCGTTTGTGGCAATCTCAGGATATTCTGCCTTGACTTTAACCCAGAACGTATGGAGCTTTGAAGTTCTCAAGCATACTTTTAAGGTCACCCTCATTTGTGATCTCAAGCAGTTGATCCTCTTCTACAGACAAAGCTGATTCACCTGGCTTATTCAAAAATGGGTCACAGATCCATTCCTTCCCAGTTCGGGGGGCTTTTGTGGATGGGAAGTAATGTTCAAACTCTTTTGAAAGCTGAGACAGGTGATCATGCACCAGCTGGGAGAAAGAAGGCCCTGGCTCAGTCTCTTTCAAAATCTCTGCTAATGTTTGAAACATGTCAAAAATCCCCATGTTCTTTCGTTGCCCCCATAATTCCAGTTTGGCTTTGAATACAGTCACTTTATCTGCTGACTTGAACATAGTTGTCGTTCTCCCCTGAAGTGACAGATTGAGTTGGTTAAGCAGGTTGGATGTCACACAAGTAAGTTTTGCAATCCATTCTGTGTCTCTGAAATGTGCTGCTAGTAGTCACTGTTTTTCTAAAAGAAATCTCTGGAGTGGCTCTTGTAACTCAGAAACTCTCGCCAGTGACCTCACTTTAGAAAGTCATCTCACTTCTGTGTATGAGAGAAGATGTGTATGTTCTGTGTCCATCTCCTCACAGAGCTGCATGAACAGATGTGTGTTAAGGGCATGCACTTTCATGTGGTTGATAATTTTAATCACATCCTGCAAAACGTTGTTAAGTTCAGGTGACATTTTTTGGCTAGCCAGCATTCTCTATGGATGACACAGTGCATAGACTCACATTCAGAATTGACCCCTTTGACCCAAGTAGTGAAACCAGAAAGCTGTCCAGTCGTGGCAGCTGCTCTATCCGTGCATATACCGACACAGAATGACCAATTCAGTTTCCCTGATATGTAATCATTCAAAGACTTGAATAGTTCTGCAGCTGTGGTGTTGGTTGGCAACAAAAGTGCACATAACATACCCTCATGAACATCCTCCTGAAAAATATATTGCACAAAACAAGCATTGTTGCCTTGTCAACATCAGTAGACTCATCAATCTGGATTGCATACTATGGTGACTCATTAATCCTCTCTAACAATTGTGCCTCAATATCCTCTGCTATTTCATCAGTTCATCTAGTTATGGTGCTAGCTGAAAGAGGAACACGTGCCACCTTTTGAACTGCAGCCTCTCCTGACAGTTCACCACAAATGTCCTTAGCAGCAGGCAGAATCAACTCTTCACCAATAGTAAAGCATTTCTTAGCTTTAGCAATGTGGTTAGTCACTAAGAATGATGCTGATTTGGTTACAAGAGGAATGAACAAAGCCTCTATCATCTATGCCATCTCCCACCCTCCAAAGGCTTGTCTTTTAATGTAGGGTGCTTGGTCTCCATGTGGCAAAGCAGTTTTGAAGGTTTCATGGCTTCATTGGATAGCCGGTCACCACATATTACACAAAGCGGGCTTGGAGAACATGAACCACCTGTTGCAGTGAACCCCATAATCTAAGTAGGATTCTTGGTATTTACTTTTAAAGCCAGCTTTCTTTTTGTTGGCTAGTCTTAGGGTCTTCTGCTGTCTCGTCATTTGGTCTTTTCCCCTTTTCAAAGAAGCTCTCCAGTGACGTTTGTTTTTTATTCATTTCGGCTAAGGTTAGCCTGTGGGCTTACCAAAACTGTGACTGAGACAAGTGTGCAGTTCAGGAAAGAGGCACAGATGGAAGTGGTAAATAAAATAATGGGTGGGCCATGCATGGACTAAAATAAGTGTCAGGCGCTGGCTTAATGTGCAGATGCAGCTGTGCAATTGAAGTAATCAACTCACATGCCACTATAAAGCCTGCCACCAGATGCAGCTTAATTGTCACTTGCCACTCACTGATAGGGTTTTGATGTGAGTCTGAAAGCAATTGATTTATTATGGTTTCTGTGCAGTCAAACCTCTCTGCTATTGTTAATCTGTATGTGTAGCCACTCCCCAGTGCTAGCATCACTGCCTCAGTTCACCACAGATCATCAGGTATTAGATTCCCATAAGGAGCACACAACCTAGATGCCTTGCATAAGCAGTTCACAATAGGGTTTGTGCTCCTATGAGAATCTAATGCCCGATGATCTGAGCTGGAGCTGATGCAGTGATGCTAGCACTCAGGAGCAGCTGCAAATACAGATGATGCTTCGCTTGCTCGCCCACCACTCACCTCCTGCTGTGCTCCTCACTGTGTGACCTGGTTCTTAATAGGCCATAGACTTGTCGGTACCTTCTGTGGCCCAGGGATTGGGGACTCCTGGGTTAGGGGATGAATAGTGATAGTAGCAAGTGAAGTGGTGACACAGAGACCATAGGCCTCTGCTGTATTTCCCCTTTCATGGTGCCATTGGTTTTCTGTTGCAAGGCTATTTCACTCTTCTAGGTTAGGGAACTTAGTCCAGGTACCACCCACCGACTCAGTGGTCACAGGCAGAGGTCTCTTGTCCTCCTGACCTATGGGAATATCCTTACTTCGTGCATTAAGCCCAGAGCCTCTCCTTGAGTGGTGACAATAGCCTTGTGATCCAGTTCACTTTCCTCAGCTTTCCTTAGCCTTGAGGTGGGGAGGACTCTCGCATACATTAATAGTCAAGCAAGGCCTTTATAATCAGTGGTCTAATTTTGTTGTACAGCCTTGATCATGCTGCTGTGGGAAGCTTGTATCATTATGGCAGCAGTGAGGTTTAGGGATGGGTACCACAGGCAAAACGCAACAGAAGCAATATGTGAAAGCACAGAGCAGCACAACAGATCTCCAGCTAGTGGTGTTCCCTTCCCAGATGGAGTTAACCACCTGAGTTAATCAGTTAGTAAGCCAGTTGCAGCTAAAAGACATTCCCCTTGGTTATTTGCAAGGTCAATCCTGAAATTCTGCCAACTATGTCAATTATTTTGTGCCAGTCTCAGCCTATTGGTAGTGATGCTATTGTCTAGAAATGGCTGGGAACACTTACCTGGGCCTAAGGCAAGCCCTCACAGATATTTCCCCTTTATGAGACTATGTTGTAGCTGGACCAGTCTTTGTGGTTCTTATTATGATTATAAGATGTATCTCAGCAACAACTATCTGGGGACTTTGGGGAAAAAAACAAGGTTTATTATTCATAAATCCTGGAGGATACATAATATGCTGGGGCCACACATACAGAGAAGGAGGGAGGAAGAGAGGAGAGGAAGGATGGGGTTCTGCTTTTATTGGGGTGTAAGGTGGGGTGCCTAGGGTTTTGCAAATTCATTCTTTATTGGTGAATTTGAGTGGAAATTAACTCAGGAGGGGCAAAACAAGTGGTCAGTTAGTGATCTAAGTCAACTGTACATCTCTAAAACAAAGGAAACTTCAGGGGTGGGGTGGCCTGGCTCTTTATCTAGTCAGATAGCTGGCTATGTGTCTATTTAAGATAGCTTTCTTTGGAGTAGATGTCACTGCAATCAAAGCTTAATGTCAGGCACTTGTATTATAATAATAATAATAATAATAATAATAATAATAATAATAATAAACAACTATCAAGCACTTATACTACATCTACATAAAATGCCACATCTTATTTTATATCCTCTAAGGCAGAGATTGTCACAAAAAATAATCGAGGGAACAAAGGGTGTCCTTCAAATGCAAAAGTGTGCTATATGATTTTTTTCCAGTTTTATTAAGATAAAATTGACATACAGCACTGTATAAATTGAAGTGTATAGCATCTTTGACTTACGTATATTGTGAAATGATTACCACGATAAGTTTAGTTAACATTCATCATCTGTTATAGATATAAAAAAATAATTTTTTTTCTTGTGATGAGTACTTTTAGAATCCACTCTCTTAACTTTCATATATATCATATAACAGTGTTAACTGTAATCATCATACTGTGCATTACAGCCCCAGTGCTTACTTATAACTGGAAGTTTGTACCTTTTAACCACCTTTATCCAATTCTCCTTTAACCTACACCCTACCTCTGGTAACCACAAATCTGATCTCTTTTTATATAAGTTTTTTTTTTTTAGATTTCACATATAAGATCATAAAGTATTTGTCTTTCTCTGTCTGACTTAATTCACTTAGTATAATGTTCTCAAGGTCCATCCATATTGTCACAAATGACAGGATTTTCTCCTTTCTATGGTATATATCTATATATACCACAACTTTTTTATCCATTTGTCTGCTGATGGAAACTTAAGTTGTTTCCATGCATTGACTTGGTAAATAATACTGCAATGAATATGGGGGTGCAGATATCTCTTTGACATATTATTTTCATTTCCTTTAGATATATTCCCAGAAGTAAAATTGCTGGGTCATATGGTAGTTCTATTTTTAATTTTTTGCAGAACCTCCATACTATTTTCCATAGTGGCTGTACCAATTTACAATCCCACCAACAGCGCTCAAGTGTTCCCTTTTCTCCACATCCTTGCCAACACTTGTTATCTCTTGTCTTTTTGATAATAGCCATTCTAATGGGTGTGAAGTGATAGCTTATGATGGTTTTGATTTGTACTTCCCTAATGATTAGTGATGTTGAACATCTTTTCATGTACCTGTTGGCCATTCATATATCTTTTTTAAGAAAAATATCTAATCAGGTCCTTTGTTAATTTTAAATTGTATTATTATTATTATTTTTTACTATTGAATTGTATGAGTTCTTTTTATATTTTGAATGCTAACTCCTTACCGGGTGTATGATTTCCAAATATTTCCGCCCCCCCCATTTCATAGGTTGTCTTTTTGTTTGGTTCATTGTTTCTATTGCTGTGAAGAAGCTTTTTAGTTCTAGTCTCACTTATTTATTTTTTTATTTTGTCACTAGTGTCATATATAAAAAAAAATCATTGCCAAGACCCTTGTTAAGGACCTTTATTCCTATGAGAAAATGGTTTTGGTTTTTTCTTCTGGTAGTTTTATGGTTTGCAGGTTTTCATTTAAGTCTTTACTCCACTTCCAGTTAGTTTTGTGTGTGTGTGTGTGTGTGTGTGTGTAATGAGAACCACTCTCAACAACTTTCAAGTATATCATACAGTATTGTGTGGTTTTGTGTGTGTGTGTGTGTGTGATAAGATAGGGGTCTAATTTCATTCTTTTGCATGCAAATATCCAATTTTTCCAGCACCGATTATTGAAGAGACTATCTTTTCTCCATTGATTAATCTTGGCTCATTGTCAAATATTAGTTGACCATATATGTTTGAGTTTATTTCTGGGTTTTTGATTCTGTTCCATTGACCTATATGTCTATTTTTATGCTATTACCATGCTACTTTGATGACTATAGCTTATAATATAGTTTGAAATCAGAAAGTGTGATGCCTCCTGTTTTCTTTCTCAGGATTGCTTTGGCTATTCGGGGTCTTTTGTGGTTTCATGCACATTTTAGGATTGTATTTTCTATTTCTGTTTTTTAAAATGCCATTGGAATCTTGATAGGGATTGCATTGAATGTATAGATGGCTTTGGGTAGTATGGACATTTTAACAATATTAATTTTTCCAATCCATAAACACATAACTTTCCATTTATTTGTTTTAATTTCTTTCATCAATGTCTTATAGTTTTCAGTTTAGAGATCTTTCACTTGCTTGATTAAATTTATTCCTAACTATTTTACTCTTTTTGATGCTTTTGCACATGGGATCATTTTCTTTATTTCATTTTCGAATAATTCATTGATAGTGTATAGAAATGCTACTGTACTTTTGTATGTTAATTTTGTATCTTGCAACTTTACTGAAATTTGTTATTAGATTGAATAGTTTTTTGGTGGAGTCTTTAGGATTTTTCTATATATAAAATCATGTCATCCACAAATAGAGACAATTTTATTTCTTCTTTTCCAATTTTGATGCCTTTTCTTTCTTTCTTTCTTTCTTTCTTTCTTTCTTTCTTTCTTTCTTTCTTTCTTTCTTTCTTTCTTTCTTTCTTTCTTTCTTTCTTTCTTTCTTTCTTTC